GATGCCAGGTGTTGTGGCTGAGGCAGAGGTAGGGGGAATCCCTGAGTTCCAGGCCAGCCTGGTCTACATAGCAAGTTCCAGGCTAGCTGGTCTACAGGGAAACCAAAAAAAAAAGAAAAAAAATTATTATTATTATTATTTTTTTGGTGATGTTCCCTCACACATGCTAGCCCTGTGCTCCTGGGGCTCCAAACTGCTCTTGCTGGGGTCTAGGTTCGTCTATGTGGGCTGGTGGTCTATACTGGGCCAGCTTGAAGGTGGGTAGCTCCTGGGTAATGTTAACCTTTCTCTGTCCCCCAACCCCAGGAGGAGCAGCAGCGCCTGGCGGAACTCTCCAAGTCCAACAAACAGAGCTTCTTCTTTGGCTCACTCACCAGCCGCCTGTGGCCTCGCTCCAAGTAGCCTTGACCTCTGGGCCTCCTCAGACTCTGTGCCTAAACCCCAGGCCCCAGCACTCCTAGAGTGAGGCATGGGCAGGCACATGTCCAATAAAGTGCATCCCAGACGCCACAATGCCTGTGTCCGGAGAGTCCAGATGGGGTGTCAGGGTGAGGTCCGGGACTGGGGTCACCATCCCACAGTGACTGATCACCACCAGGCCCAGTGGATGCCTTGGATCCTGGCTGGTTTTTGGCCTGGAAACATGGGTTTCTGTTGGGCTGTCTGCCACATGCTGTGTGAGCTTCGAAAAAAATGCACCTTCCTTTTTGTCTCCGGATCCCTTCTGTGTGGAAAAGAGGAGAGAGGGTGCAAAGACTGGTAGCTACTGTCCACATAAGGAGAAGTGTGACCTCTGGGAACCAGAGATCACCTCATCTCGGGTGGCCCTGTCCTAGTTCTGGTTTCCGTTCCTGTGATAAAACACCATGACCAAAAGCAACCTGGGGAGGAAAGGGTTTGTTTCATCTTACACAGTCTGAGGTCTGGGGATGCCAAGGCAGGAACCTGGAGGCAGGAGCAGAAGCACAGACCACAGAGGATGCTGCTTAATGGCTGGCTTCCCTGGGCCTGCTCAGCTGCCTTTCTCTTCCAGACCAGGCCCACCTGTCCTGGGTGGCACCACCCACAGTGGGCTGGGCTCCCACATCAATTAGCCATCAAGAAAATGCTCTATAGACCAATCTGTTTTGATTGATCCTTCCCAGGTGACTCTGGGTTGTCAAGTTGACAGTCAGACTCACCAGGAACAGGCTCCATGGGAAGGTGGCTTTGGAGCTGTTGGTCATCCACATTTGAATAGGTGCTAGAGATTGGGATTACTATTTTTCCTTTGGAAAACAGATCTTGCTACACAGGTCAGTCTGGCCTGGAGTTACCAGGCTCAAGCAACCCTACCAGGTAGCATGTGCCACTGCACCTGCAAGAAATTGGGAGGTTTTTACATTCTATATCAATTTTATTTTTGTGGTGCTAGGGATGGGATCACAGCTTGATGCATGCTAAGTAAGTGCTGTACCACTGAGCCTTGTTCTAACCTGGCTCTCTTAAAAAGATATTAACAATTTGTGTATATGTGTGTAGGTGCTTATGTAGAGGTCAGAGGACAAACAATTGGTTCTCTCCTTCCAGCATATGGATCTCAAGGATTGAACTCTGGTTACAAGGTTTACTGGCAAGCTCCTTTACCCCACTGAGCCATCTCTGGTGTTATGTGTATGAATGTAATGCCTGCTTGTATGTAAGTGCACCCAAGTAGTGCAGTGCCCAAAGAGGACAGAAGAGGGCATGATAGATCCCCTGGAATGGGAGTTACAGATGATTATTAGCTGTCATTTGGATGCTGGGATTTGAACCTAGGTCTTCTGCAAGAGAAGCCAGTGCTCTTAAGCACTGGGCCATCTCTCCAGCCCTCTCCCCCTTCTTTAAAGGTAGAGTTGTATGTAGCCCATGGTGGCTTTGGGTTGCTGTGTAGCAGAGGATGACCTTGAGCTCCTTCCTGCCTCTACATCCTGATTGCTAGGATTATAGGCATGTACCACCACATCCAAACGGCTTTATGCATGCTTAGCAAGCACTCTATAAACTGCAACATGTGCAGCCATTTCATTTATTTTGGTCTTTTTTGAGACAGGGTCTCCTTGTAGCACCAGCTGGCCTGGAACTACGTAGGCCAGGCTGACCTTGAATTCACAGAGATTCGCTTGCCTCTGCTTCCTGAGTGCTGGGATTAAAGGTGTGTGCCACCAAGCCTGGCAGCAAAATTTATTTTTTAAGAGAGAGAGAGAGAGTCCGTGCAGGTGTTTGTGGAGGTCAGAAGAGGGCATCAGTGTTCTTAATGGCTGAGCCATGTGTCTAGCCCTCCTAATAGTTCTTACACATAGGTAAGCCCTCTTGGTAGCCACAAAAAGCTCAGGCGGTACCTCAGCCTTACCTTCCCCACCTGTAAAAGGAGGGAGATGAAGTTTTGTTTCATTTTGTTGTTTTAGTCTTCTTAAGATAGGACTTCCCTGTACCTCCTGGTGGCCTCCCTCTACCTCCCAAATGCTGGAGTTAAAGGCATGCACCACTACACACAACTGCTTTTTTAGATTTTAAAAGATTTTTTATTTTTAATTATGTATGGGTATGTCTACTTGAGTGCAGGTGCTCAAGGAAGCTAGAGGTGTTGGATTCCCCTAGGAGCCGGAGTTACAGGTGGTTGTGAGCCACCCATGTGGTTCCTGACAATTCAGTCCCCTGGAAGAGCAGTATGTGCTCTTAACTGCTGAGCCATCTCTCCAGCCCTGGTTGGTTTTTCAAGTACCTTCCATGTTTTGTTTTTTTTTTTAAATGTGTACAAGTGTTTTGCTTGCATGTATGTAAGTGTGCCCTTGTGTGCACTCATGGAGGCCAGTAGAGGGAATTAGATCCCCTTGAACTGGTTGTTAGCCACTATGTGGGTGCTGGGAACTGAGCCCTGTTTTCTGCAAGAGCAGCCATCTCTCCAGCCCCCCCCCTGCCATGTTTCTTATCATAAAATGCATTTGAATCCAGACTACACTCTAAATGTTTAAAATGCGCTTGGTGATAACAGGATTAAAGGGTGGGCATGGTGGCATAGTCCTGTAATCTCAGCATTTAGGAGACTGAGACAGTCACAAGTCTGAGGCAAGGTTACTCCATGTAGCAAAACACTGCCCAAACAGAGAATTAAAATTATCACCCAAACTCACAACCTGGGGCACTGGCTAATCCCAAGGAGCACCTTCCCCATGCCCAAAGACCCCCTCTTAGAAAATAAAATTTAATTTTTAATTTTTTTTTCCTCTTTTTGAGACAAGGTCTTCCTCTAGCCCCAGCTGTCCTGGAACTCGCTATGTAGACCAGGCTGGCCTCCAACTCACAAAGATCTGCCTGCTTCTGCCTCCCAAGTGCTGGGATTAAAGGCATGTGCCACCACACTCAGCTTCTGCATATTTTTAAGTGTATGAGTGTTATGCCTGCATGTGTGTAAGTGCACCTGTGTTGGGCAGTGCCCTTGGAGGACAGAAGAGGGCATCAGATCCCCTGGAACTGAAGTTATAGATGGTTGTTTACCATCTAGGGATTCAAACCTAGGACTCATGCAAGAATAGCCAGTGCTCTTAACCAGTAAGCTGTCTCTCCTGCCCCTGGTATGGCTTCTTAACAGGTAGTCAGATATCTACCTCATACAGTCAGGTATCAGAGAGGGGGTTTAGGATTTAGTGGTAGAGTACTTACCCAGCAAGCAGAAGGTCCTGGGTTTGATCCTTGGCTCCAGAAGAAAAAAAAAAAAAAAGAGGGAAATGGACAAAAACAAAGCAACAGATACCAGAGAGAAGAGTGATGAGCTTGCCCTGGTTTACTGGAAATAGAAGGCTCACCAGACTCAAAACTATTCTGTTTGGCTAGGCCTGGAGAGGTAAGACTGTAATCCCAGTTACTTGGGAGAGTGAGGCAGGAGGATTGAAAATTGAAGGCTTGCCTAAGCTACAGAGTGAGTTCAAGGCCAGCCTGGGTAGCTTAGTAAGACCCTGTCTCAAAAAAGGGCTGGTAGTCCTGACATGGTGGCAGGTAGAGATTGAGGCCAGCCTGGTCTACATAGTTCCAGGCCAGCTGGGGGCTACAGGGAGACCCTATTTCAAAAACAACAGCAAAAAGAGATGGGAGTATTTTTCAGTTAGGGTGTTTTCCTGGCAGGTATGAGGTCCTCTGTTCAATCCTTAGCACAGCAAGAGGAGACAGAAAAAACCTGGTGAGATGCAGTGGTTTGGGGCCTTAGAGACACTTTTATTTTTCATTTTTACTGATTTGGGGCGGGGGCTCACATAGGGTCAGGTCAGAGGACAATTTTCAGGAGTCTGCCCTTTCCCATCATGTGGGTCCCCAGGATCAGAAACAGGTCATCGGACTTGGTGGCAAGCATTTTTGCCAGATGAGTCACCTCACCGGCCAGGGAATGCTATTTTATATTAGATGGGATGATCTAGAAGCCTTCTTAAGAGGATGTATTTGGGCAGAGCCCAGAATGAAATGAAAACTATGGGAGATGGCTGAATGTGCAGGTGCAGTCACCTTAGGGCCTTTGCACTCCCTGCTCCCACTGCCCATGGTGTAAAATCCCTTAGATCTTAGCTCAAATGCCACCTCAGCACAGCCTTTTGGGACCAGCATAGAAGTAAAATTCTAAACAGCCAAGAAGACTTTCAGAAATCCCTTAAAGTATGCTTCCCATGTGAGACAAAAAGAGTTCTGGAAGTGCCATCATGCCTGGTCCTTTATTTTGTGATGCTGGGGACTGAACCCAATCTTGTTATTGCAGGGCAAAGTTGGGTGTTTCGGGTGGTTGGTTGGCTTTTGAGAAGGGCCTCGTAGTTCAGCCTGGCCTCAAACTCCTGGTCTTCCTGCCTCCACCTCCAGACTGCCAAGATCATAGACTGCCCACCATGGCAACTCACTATCTTTTCTTTTATCCAATAAATAATTACTGAGCACAACCGTGGCTGACCCTGCGCCCCGAATAAGACAAACATGGATGGAAATTAAACTTGCATTTCCCTAAAAGTATTATCTCTAAATATTAAATTATTATTGTTATTTACTGTGGGGAGATGAGTCTCCTCATCTAAGCAACTTTGCATAATGCCTGGCACTGAGACATTATGACCAGAGACACATCTGTTCCTAAGCGACTTTGCCACAATCCTAGAATACTAAGGGGACCCTGGGGGGTGCCCTCCATTCATCTGGGGTCGGGGATCGGGCACCTGGTATGCGAAGACTAATTTCCTGCTCATTTGCCCCTCACACCTTCTAAAGGCCAAACGGGTAGCCCAGTTGCGGCCCGAGGGGGAGGGGCGAGGCCGCCCGGCAGATGGCGACATTTACATACAGCTGGGAGGCCCCTCCAGCGCGGGGCTCCTGGCCTGGCGTCTGCTGAGTCTGGTGACTGGTCTGGTGACGCTGGATTTGGGAAAAGAGGCTTTGTTTTGGGGAGGACACACACACACACACACACACACACACACACACACGCACAGAGGAGGCCTTCCACAAACACACACGGGTTCACAAAGAACCCGGGACCTTCATTATAGTCATTCACAGCTCCCCTTATGCACCTCCCAAACTGACACGCGCATTCACGATTTCACACATACAGCCTGCTGGAGACACATACAGAACCCTCCACAGTGGTCTAGGACCTCACATATGTACACATGTAGCAGAGGTGTATGCACATAGTCACATAATAAAGTCACCTGGACCTCTATTCTCCCACTCAGGTACATACACACACATAGAATCAGAATTATTTATAAAGCCTCACAATTGTGTTGACTACACACGCACACACACAATCTCAAAATTATTTACAGTCTCACAAGTGTATTAGCCACACACACATACACACACCATACACACACAGGCTTAATCCCTAGTCACACTCAAAGTTGCACTCACAATCACACTCAGGATGACATCTCACCAAGTTGCCCACATACAGAATCTCGAAGTTGCTCTGCCTCGTCCCTTCCTGCGCCCCCGCCCCTCGTTCCCCAGGAGCCCACGGCTAGCTGAGGGGGCGGGGCGTCCCCTTAGATATAAGGCTCGGCCTCGGCAGCTGCAACTCCCCAGATCCCCTGCCTGCAAGGTGATGGTGTCCCTGCAGATGTCCCCGCAGATGTCCCAGCTTTGGTCCCAGACGGTGATTTTGGCGCTCCTCCTTCCCCAGGTCAGACAGGAAAGGGACAGAGGCGGGCTGGGTACTACCTGGAGATGCTAGGGCGGTTGCACCGGGTGGAGGTCCTAGGGAGGTTGCACTGGGCCGACCGACGCCTGGGTCCCCGGGATCCCCTCACCTTGTGGCCCTCTCCGTCCTAGGCTGGGCCGACTGGTGTCTTCGAGCTGCAGATCCATTCTTTCCGGTCGGGACCAGACCCGGGGGCCCCGCAATCCCCTTGCAGCGCCCGAGGCCCTTGCCGTCTGTTCTTCAGGGTCTGCTTGAAGCCTGGGGTCTCCCGCGAGGCCGCCGAGTCCCCGTGCGCCCTGGGCGCAGCGCTCAGTGCGCGCGGCCCCTCCTACCCCGAGCAGCCCGCAGTGCCTGCAGCCCTGCCGCTGCCCGACGGGCTGGTGCGCGTGCCCTTCCGAGACGCCTGGCCCGTGAGTCCAGCCCTGCCACCCAGACCTCACTGCCTTCTGTCCTCCAGCTTCCAAAACCCTCCCCTGCACCAGCTACCTTCTGCAACCCACAGTCCCAGACCCCTCAGCCCCACCTACCCTGACACAAAATGTTTGGATCCCCCAACCCCACAACTACCCTTTGGGGATTCCAAACGTTCTAACACCTCCCCGACTCCCAGCATACTGGGAACCCTAATTCCTAGCACCCCAAACTCACCTCTGGAAACCCCAAATTCACAGAACCTTACCTTTGTTCCTTGGGGATGTCGCAAAACCAGGACCCACATCTTTTTGTGGTTATTTATTTATTTATTTATTTATTTATTTATTTGTAGGGGAGGCATGCATGCGCATAGTGGTCATTATGTGGTGGTCAGAGGACAGCTTGTGGGAATGAGTCAGTTCTGTTTTTCACCACATGGGACCTGGGAATCGAACTCAGATTGTCAAGTTTGCTGGAAAATGCATTTATCCACTGAGCTATCTCACTAGCCCAGTTTTTTGTTTTTGCTTTTGTTTTGTTTTGTTGAGAAAACTCAGGCTGGCTTTGAATTTACTATGTGACCAAGCCTGGCCTTGAATTCTTGATCCTCCTGCCTCCACTTCTCAATTACAGGGATTCAACCAGCAACCTGGGTTTGGGATCTTTGTCTTCAGCCCCAGATCTTCTTGCACTTAGGGACCTTCCCGAATTCTGTCAGCTCTTTCATTGGTACCTGCATTTATAGGTTTCATCTCTTGAATGCTAGTTTCCATCCCCACACTCCCCAAAGCATGCAAATGAGCAGATCCACATTTGAAGTTTATACTCCTTTCCACATTTAATTTCCTCAGCCGTAAAGTGGGAAAACCCTGGTACCTTGCAACAATTTTTTTGGCCAGGGTTATGCTAGATACCCCAGATAGGCCTTGAATTTGAAATCCTCCTCCCTTGGCCTCCTGAGTACTGAGATTACAGGCATGTGTAAGCATACCTCGAACAATTTTTTATTTTTTACTTTTTAATTTTTATTTATTTTTTGGCCTTTTTGAGACAGGATCTCCCTGTAGCCCCAGCTGGGCCTGGAACTCACTATGTAGACCAGGCAGGCTGGCCTTGAACTCACAGAGATCCGCCTGCCTCTGCCTCCCAAGTGCTGGGATTAAAGGCGTGCACCACCACGCCCGGCACAATTTTTTATCTTATTTTTTGAGACAGAGTCTCCCTGTAGCCCCAGCTGGGCCTGGAACTCACTATGTAGACCAGGCAGGCAGCACAATTCTCTTTTAAGGGACCCCCACAGGTACCTGAAATCTGGACTGAAGCCAGATGTGTTGCTTGCTCGCTCCCTCTGGGAATTTTCTCTTGGTCACTCAGGCCCCAGAACTGGCTGCCAGTCTCCACATTGTATTCTGGCCTTTTCTGCAGACCTACCCTGACCACTGTCTTCTGTTCTTTCTTCTATCCCTTCTCCATCCAACTAGGGCACCTTCTCCCTCATCATTGAGACCTGGAGAGAGCAGCTGGGGGAGCAGGCTGGAGGTGAGTGTCTTCCGTCTTGGGATTTTGGTGGGATGGGACAGGAACTGGGGTTCAGGACAATGACATGGAGCTGCCTGTGAGGTGGAGCACTCATGAAACTGCTGGGCCTATGATGTCATCACAGCCCCTGGAGTGTGGTGCCAGGTTAGCAGCTCTAGAACTCTGGGCAGCTCAGGGATAGAAAGTGCTGGTAGTAGCTGTGGAGTCCATGTCCTCGTACCCATTGAGCATCCCGATCCAAAAATCAGACATCTAAAGTGCTCAAAAATCTTTTTTTTTTTTTTTTTTTTAGCGGATCAGAGCATTGCTACAAGTACTGTTCTTTCTACAGTAAGCAAGCCCTTATGAGTTTTACCGACACATATGTTTCTAAAGCAAAGAGACTGACACTCATGGCAAGAAAATTTTGCAAAGAATTCTTAGGAAACGGGTTTTAATACAAAATGCTTCTCTTCATTCGTTTTCAGAGTAGTAAACACATTGCTA